AGCCTCCCAGCAATGTTGCAACATCTCGTAAAGCCTTCAACCACCTGTTTGACTCACGTTTTTATATAAACTCTTTTATATATACTTTTTAATATAAACTGTTTTATATATACTTTTCTTTGCTTCAGGTTCAGATGATGATGATGCATTTACTGGCACTTAATAATCCGATAACTGCAGAAAATCAGATTTTCTCAGTTATCTGATCAACGCGTTTACATGCACTTGAGTAATCAGATAATGGGGAAACTCTGGGTCTACATGAGTCAGACAGATATTGGATTTCTGCTTTGCAATCAGCCAATAAACTCACAGAAGAAGACGTGATGTAAACGCAACGTAAAAATCAAACTTCATGACGTGTCATTTTACCTGAAAACATGAACATACATCATCTAGAAGGTGAAGAATGTTGAAGTCATTCATTTCATCAAGTATAGAGTTGATTACAGCGTCACTCCAAATGTATTTTGCCGGTCTCTCACTGCTTACTTATTTCCGGTACCGTGGTTTGTTCTCGCGCATGCGCAGGCTGAGAAATCCGAAAGAAATCAGAGTTAGAGTTTACATACACTAAGGAATCTGATTACTGAGCAAAAATCCAGCTCTCTTTATCAGGTTTCTTAATCAGATTTCTAGACCTTACTCCAGTCTTAGAAATTGGAGTTTGCTGTTTACATGACCATTTGAATAATCAGATAACTGCAGAAATCCGATTATGATCAGATTATTGAGTCCATGTAAACACACTCATTGACTTATTTTGTCCATGTTTTGACAGAATAACGACTAACTCACACACACACACACACACACACACACACACACACACACACACACACACATTTTCTAAGCCGTTTATCCTTCTGGGTCGCGGGGGGTGCTGGAGCCTATCCCAGTGGTCATTGGGCGGATACACCCTGGACAGGCCTCCAGTCCATCGCAGGGCATGACGACTAACTTGAAAAAATAAATTATTGCTCATCAAGAAAGTGTGTCATTGTTTATTTTAAGAAAATACGACATTAATTTGACAAATTTGAGGACAATTATTACTTATTCTTTTACTTTCTGTGCGAGTTTTGCGTTGAATATATTTGAAAACTGTGAAATTGTAACATCTGTTTAATTTTGCTGAGGGCATGTATGATTTTGAGTATAACTGCTTAGCTACATGCAGTACATTAAAGAACAGCTGTGACATTCCTGCCACAACACCCATAAACCACAGCACACAGAAGCCCCAGCGCAGGAATAGTGAAGTAAGCAGCAGCATTAATAAAGCAGGGACTGCAGAGCCAAAGAGTCTGAATATGTGCTTTTAGGACTTGTTTTGGAAAGAATCCACCCAAAATAGCAGTTTTAAATATTGTTTTTTCTAAAACTATTTGGTTTGATTTATCAGATTATGAATAATGTTCATGGCAGACGTTTCCAAGATTTTTTTTGTGATCAAAAATAAATAAATGTGTTTGAAAAACTCTCTTAGCAGCCAAGTTAGTGCCAAAAACGAGAGGAGCTCGTCTCAGAAGTTAAACAGAGTGCAGTCAGTGTTTACTGTTAGTCTTAGTAAATCAGAATAAATGCTGCAATAATCTCTACAATCTCTACAATAATAATCTGCTCTCAGTTTTTGCCCCTTTGAGAGGGAAACTCCTATAAATGCATAAGCAATAAGGCAAAAGCACAAGACAGCAGCTACCACTCATTATATGTAACTGTGGGCACTACAGCACCATTGCGGATGTTCAGTAGCTCACGACAGACACTTCTTAATGCCAAAATGCAGTTTGCAATGGTGCAAAACATTCGTAAATCTGCCTCTTAGTGTGAACACACCAAATGAAAAAGGAGACGTACCGACATGAAAGAGCAGAATGGAACTTCGAGCTAAGAGTGTGTAAAAAAGCTATCAGACTGGAGAACTGAGACTGAAGTGTTCTTTTGGAGTAGACCAGACAAAAGCCACTAATGGACGAGCTCAATAGGCTCCCAAAACTGATCCATAATGCAAAACCAGAACATATAGATCAGAGCAGAGGACACCTGAGGGCATCTATCTCAGATCAGTCTTCAGTTAATGGTCTCCCTTTATTTGTATAGTCCACTATAGTTCCCTGCACTGTTAGAAATAAAGGTTCTGTGCAGGAACATTTTTCATTCATCAAAGTACAAACGATGTAAATGTCCCTCAAAGGTACAACAGTGGTTTTAAGGTCTGATTGTGAATCTTAAATAAGTTTTTCCAGGTGAAAAGTTCGTATTTGTACCTTTTCCTAATCGAATGTTTTAAAACAGAACAGTAAAATAAAAGCCTGGAGACGAGACGGGGTGTGTGCAGTGGATTATGGTTCAGTTATGTTCCCTGACTAAAGGTACTGAGATGTACCCTTGAGGAAACCACCCCAGTGACAAGAGGGGAACTGCCCCAGTGACAGATTACTGACAGATTAGTACCTTTATTTCTGATAGATAATCTGATAGATTATCTACATAGGTTCAGATTTGTTAACAAACTATCTGTTAGAATAGGATTTAGGATTTGGACCAGGGTGAGGGTTGGGTTTAGGTTTTGGGTTGAGGTTAAGGTTAGGGTTAGGATTAGAGCAGATTTAGAGTTAAAGAAAATTGTGGTAGAATTTAGTAGATATTTAGTTGAATTTAACTTGAAAGTAAATGAAGTATCTACAAAGCATCTAAAGTGGACTATCCAAATAAAGTGTTACCCAATTAATTACTTAATTTAATTAATTTGGTCTTCCAAGAACAACTTTCAGCTTTATCAAGCCTTCTTCTGAATATTGAGGTAGAGTGGATACAGCATAAAACTCTATTCTCCATCTTCAAAAGGTAACTGCAACTTCCAGCTGTTGCATCATAAAAGATATAGAGGAGCAGGAGAGAAAATCAGGTTGTAAATATTAATATCATATCTCTGACATAACATAAAAATCTACAGGACTCTGGAGGTGGACCATGGACAATTTCTTAATTCAGTAAGTCAGTATAGTTATTTAGAACTTTTTAATGGTGAAAAAGAAAAAGACAGGTTTTCAAAAGTTTCATTCTGACTCATGTTCAGTAATATCATCTGAGAAAGCGCTTGAAATGCATCACATCAAGCAGAGCCCCTCAGGGCATCTAAAAACCATCCCACCAGTATTCCACGCACCAGAGGCTGTTATGTTTCACTCTGATCTATAATTTAGAAAGTTTCTGCCTTTTTGTCAAGGAAAACCTCTGTGATTTGCTGGAACGTGAATGTTAAGAATTTGCACAGTCACGTTACATTTGACAGGAAGTTTTTTAAATCTCTGATTTATTCAACTACACCAGAATTCAGTTTTCACCACTTTAGTACAAAGCAGTCTGAGCTATAGTCACAGCCTTAGGCAGCACATTGAACTGCATGTCTTCCATTTGCTATTGTCTTACATTATTGTCTTTTTTAGGCTTTTAAATGAATGGGCTGCTTTTTTTAGCTTGTTCGTGACAGTTTCACTCTCACCCAGTACATTGCTTTGTCAGAAATCCCATCAAGACTGTCGGGACTTGACTTCACAACAGATATTATGTTCCACAATTAAGGGACCGAGTCATGTATAAGGGCAAAATGACGGTAAGCAGAGATGTGGTCATTTACTTGTGGTCATTTACTTTGTATTTAAAGTTTTCTTTATTTCTCGTTCATGCAGGGCTGGAGTGAGACTCGTTTTCAGATGTGGGGTTACAAAGCACAGACCAGCTCACTTCAAACTCCATAAAAACTGAGATTTTTTAGGAAATTATTGCTAATAGCTAAAATTTCATCCACAAGTTTCCAGGGTCCTGTATTCCCTCATTAACATTTTCATGGGAAATATTTCAGTGACCATGTGTTGCTCAAACATATTTCCTCAAATGAAAGTTGAGTAATATTCTTATCGCTGGTGTATTCACAAACAAGCATATCACTGCTGTCAGAACAAAACCTCGTAACTCCAAAATGGTAACTTTACAGGAGAAAGAAAAAACCTACTTTACTTTTAATGTAAGTCAATGGAACCAGACTTTTTTTCAAGTCATTTTGGGCCGTTTCTTTTGGTCCATTCCTCATGAAATTTATACACAATGTAAAGGGCAACATACATTTTTAAATCATGTCAAAAACTGAAAAATGACAAAAATGGAGAATGTTTCGTTCTGACAGCAGCGATATTCTGATGTTATATGTTTAATATGAAATTCATGTACATGTTCATCTACATGCTGCTTCTAAACAAATTCCCTAATTTAAAACTACTCATTGAAAGTCAGCATTTAATTGCATCTTTATTTTATTTGAACTTCACAAAATCGACACAGTGCTGGTCACTGTAAAGTAGACATTCATGCTAACACTGAAATATTTGAGCACATCTTCAATGACAACACCTACCACCCATTTCATTTCAACATGACCCATTAACACGGCCCTCACCACTTCGCCTCCAGAGAATCTCTGATACTCATAGCACGTTTGTTCTTTTATTCCGCTAACTTGGTAGTTCAATCAATCAGTCAATCAATCAATCAACCAACCTTAATTTAAACTCATTTAGAATGTAGCTGAGCCAATACAGCAATGATGGGAAAGAGAAGTTAAAATAGTAAAAACATAACAAATGCTAAAAAGTAACAATAATTATAGTAGTAAATAAAAATTATGTACCTTTATATAAAATTACGTATTTCACACTTTTTTGCACAATTTAAAAACTTCAGTTACTCTTTATATTGTGTTAAAATTTCCAAAATTACTTGGAAAAAATCTTGTTACATTAATTTCCATTACAAGTTAAGTAATTAAGTTTTTCCTTCTCCTGTAAAGATACCATTTTGGAGATATCCAAATCAGTAATCGGCCCACTGGCAGCTCCCCCAGTTACCCACCCAGCACTTAGGCCATCCCCATATTTGAGTTCTTAAATGTCAGAGTGCAGACTGTACTGTTATATTCACTTGTGCTTTTACTATCACAGGTGTGGAAGGTCTGCTGGCTGATCTAGAAGTGCCATGAAAGCACCACCATCTCCTGTGGCCTGTGTGGTGTCCACTAGACTTAATATAAAGTGACTGACCCTGGCAAAGAAGACTTGAGGCAAAGGATCCAGAACATCGCAGCAACATCCAGGAAACTTGTATAGTAGCCGTTGTCTTTGTCATGGAAAACATCACGCACTTGGCCGCAGTGTTTGTGGACCCTCACGGCCAAGTGCCCACAGAGGAGCACGATCCCTTCCAGGACCTCTATGATATGGACTATGGGGTCCCAGCGGAGGAGATGCCGGACACCACGCAGGGGCTGGCGTATTTTGTGGCCACCATCGTTATCGGAGTCGTTCTTGTTTGCATCATGCTGGTGTGCGGCATCGGCAACTTTCTGTTCATAGCCACCCTGGCCCGGTACAAGAAGCTGCGGAACCTCACCAACCTTCTGATTGCAAACCTGGCCATCTCGGACTTCATCGTGGCCGTGGTGTGCTGCCCTTTCCTGGTGGATTACTACGTGGTGAAACAGCTGTCCTGGGACCATGGGAAAGTGCTGTGTGCCTGCGTGAACTATCTTCGAACTGTGTCCTTATACGTGTCCACCAATGCCTTATTGGCCATCGCTGTGGACAGGTAGGACAAATCAAATATCAGCGTCTCGCTGCCAGAGGGTCATTGTGTTGAGACAGACAGCCCCCAGGCCTGACTCACCATAATGTACTTAAAATGAAAAACAACTGACCATGCGTGACATTTCCCCTGGACATTTACCCAGTGTTCGTGGCTCAATGTCCTCCAGACAGACACTTGGCTGTGAATCCTGAGACGCTCTGTATACAAAAATGAAACGGAGATATTCGATACTCTATTATGTTTACACAATAAGTCATTGAGAGCAAGCAAGCTTATATCCATCTTTGTGGGAATGCATGCAGAGCATAACACTGAGCTGTGCCAGGTAAAAGCCAATTAGCCCCCACTTGCCCATGAAGGAATGAGAAATAAAAGCACTGGATGAAAACCTAATTCAGTGAAGGGACGTGGTGCTAAACAGTGGCATATGGCTATACTGAAACCACGTTTGGAATTGTTTTTCAGAACAGCAGGGAATTGCTCCCCATTCTCCGAGATTGAATCCGCAAAGCACTTGCCGATTCAAAACAACAGACACAATAGCAGCTGGTTAAGACCAGAAGAAGGTTTATCAGCAAATATAAGATGAGTTTGAAGAGAATGAATCTCTGTAGATCTCAGTCCTTATATTAGGGTTTATATTGTACACATAGCAGTATAAACAGTGCTATTACATTGTAAATATGCTGAAATGAGAGATAGGTAGCAATATCAGGCCAATATCAGCAGAAAAAGCTGGATAGTATATCAGACACCCTTCCTGTGGGGTAGTAGAGCGCTTACCAACAAATTGTTTGTTTTTCTTTTGGATTTTTACCCAGTTTTTTCCCCAATTTAGTCATCTTCAGTTCCACCTGCTCGTTAGGACTCCCCCAATCACACAATACTATCAACGCTAGCAAGCGAAGGCAAACAGAGGCTTCCTCCGAGACCTGTGAAGAGCAACCACATCTTTTCGAGCTGCCGCTCACGCTACATCACTGGACAGCTGAACGCGCTCGGAGGAAAGTGCCAATCGCCAGATCTGTTACGTCAGCTAACAGACGCCTGCGCTGACTAGCATCGCGTTAAGTGATGGGGGGATAAGGAGGGGCCATCCTACCCACCCAGAGAGCGAGGCCAATTGTGCTCTCTCGGACTCCCGGCTACGGACGGCTGTAGCATCACCAGGGATCGAACTCGCGATCTCCTGATGATAGGGCCAACGCTTAGACGGTTGCGCCACTCCCCAAAAATGTATGGCCACAACTTAGTAAGGCATGAGAACAAGATAATTAAGTCATGACCACGACTTAGTAAGGTGTGGGAGCGAGATCCTAATGCCTGGCCACGACTTAATTATCACGTTCCCATGCCTTACTAAGTCGTGGCCAAACATTAGGATCTCATTCCCACACCTTACTAAGTCATGGCCACGACTTGATTACTTTAAAATTGAGTCCACGACTGCCACAATTTAGTAAAGCATAGGAACGAGATCCTAATGCGTGGCCATGGCTTAGTGAGGCGTGGGAACAAGATAATTAAGTCGTGGCCACGACTTAGTAAGGTGTGGGAATGAGATCCTAATGCGTGGCCACGACTTAATTATCTTGTTCCCACGCCTCACTAAGTTGTGGCCACACATTAGGATCTTGTTCCCACACTTTACTAAGTCGTGGCCACGACTTATTTATCTTGAAATTGAGTCCACGACTTAGTAAAGCATAGGAACGATATCCTAATGCGTGGCCACGACTTAGTACGGCATGATCTTGTTCCCACGCCTTACTAAGTCAAGGCCACACATTAGGATCTTGTTCCCATGCGTTAATAAGGTTTGCCCACGCATTATTTTTATTTATATGGGATGTCACCAATTTAATTGACATGATTTCCATTTTCCCCAAATGCAGTCGATCAGCCAAGACATGTTTCAGATTTGGTGTCCAAATTTTCCTTCTTTAGTTTAGAACTAGAGCTGCTAGGCTAATGTTGCTTACAAACACTGGAAGTCAGTAGTCACCCAAACCATTTCCATGAGCACACGCCCCAAACTTATCTTAACCCGCTCAGATCACTTCCAGGCCTTAACTCAGGTCAGTGTGGTCCAGAACAGAATCTGATTCACTATGAATTCTAAGCATGAAAAAAACTTCTCAGAGTAGCTAAAAGAAGGGACAGTCATTCAGGATAACCAGAATCATTTCTTTCCTGAGCACAGGGGGGAGGGGGGATGAGAGGGACACAGTTAGAAAAACAAATTAACCAAAGGCTCGACTTAAACAGGTAAGTTTTTAGCCTAGACTTAAAGATGGAGGCGGTGTCTGAGTCCCGAACACAGACTGGTAGGCTATTCCAAAGCTGGGGGGCTTTGTATGAAAAGGCTCCTCCCCCTGACGTAACTTTATTTATTCTGGGTACTAATAATGAGCAGCACCTTGTGATCTAAGTGGGCGTGTCGGTTGATAATAGGAAATAAGGTCACTGAGGTACTGAGGAGCGAGGCCATTCAAAGCTTTATATGTCAGTAGAAGAATTTTGTACTTTTGTACTAGTAATGTTTACAGCACGTCCCTGCGCTCCTAACTCACACAGTTTAAAGGCAGAATAGGACCAGAAAGCGGTGGATGATAATTTAGCTCCAATTTTAGCTTAATTGTGTAAATATGGTCTGTCCATGTCATTTTACTGATTTTTTTGATGGTTTGGGTGACAATTGACTTCCATTCTTTATTAGCACTGTTAGCTTAGCAGTTCCAGTTCTATGCTAAGGAAGCACCAGACAATGTCAAAATTCATGCAAATTCAATTTTTCACCAAACTGTTGCGGTATTGGCTGATGCGCAAGGTTTCAGTATCGGTATCAGAGAATCCAAAACAGTATTGTGCCACCTCCAGTTGAAACACATTCATGATTGACAGAATTGGCCCCAGGCTCTGTTAGCTTTGGCGCCCTGCTGTCACATTATGCAGGAATAGCAGTCATTATGCTCAAGGAAAGGTCAGCTAGTCAGTCACAGAATGCCTCGTCGTTCTGAGCCCTATTGCGCTGAAAATAGTCAGCATGGAGACACCAGTGTTGTCTCCCTAATCAAAACAGCCTTTGAAGTTCCCCTCTGCCTCTTAATCTGATTACAGTATGGGTACCGTATCATTGTGACAAGATAGAGTTTGTTTGAACTTCACAGCAGACCATTCAACACTGATGAAAGTCATAGATCACACGTGGTCGACCACAACTTCAGCCTGGTACTGGCATAACAGCATGAATGCCTGGCTAAATTAAATTATAAACTCAATTTCAAGTTTAGTTCAATACTGCAATGCATAGCTAGACTGAAATCCACAGAAGTCCTCGAAGCTGTAGCTGTATGCAAAATTTTGGGCACATTTTGCTGGTTTTGGAACATGGAACATACTTAAAAATGACATATCCTGCAAATTTTAATGCACAATTATAAAAAAAATAAAATTTCAGTCAGTACTTAGTAAGACCCTCTTTGGCTGAAATCACAGCACTCCAACATTCCTTGTAGCCGGTCTTTCTGTTCTAGAATTTATTTTTGCCCCACTTTTAATTGCAGAATGTTTTTCAGAAGTAGTTCAAGGTTGATTTCTATATACATTTGGAATCATGGCCCTGTTTTGTTTTGATATCCAATATATTTTCTTCTTGTTCTTTACTGATTATGGGACATTAGTTTCCAGTTTTTGCTAATATTTATTAGAATCCTTTCTTCCCTCTATCGCCACAACATTTCCTGTGCCACATGCTGCCACACAACAACAAAGCATAACAGATTCACCCCTTGCTTAACAGTTGGCAAGGTGTTCTTTTCATCAAATGCTGCTTCTTTTTTTTTTCTCCAAGCATACCTTGGTGTCTGACACCAAAGAGTACTTCAACAATCCACAGCACTTGAGTCCAAAATGCCTTGGGTTTTTTGTGTTTTGCCTACTTCAGACACTGACTCATGTGATAAGATGACAGTTAAGGTTCTGATGACTCTCTATGTAGAGGATGTTGGTCCAACAACACTGCAAAGTGGACCAGTGCATTACTGTTATCCTGCTAGCCAAATCTTCCTGTAGGTCCCTGACAGTGATGCGGGGGTTTTGCTTTGCATGTCTGACCAGTCTATGAGTGGTTCTATCAGAGGTTTGTCCTGGTTTTCCAGATTTTGGCTTTACATCAACAGTTCTCCTTAACTACCATTTCAGACAGTGAAAAATAAACATGAACCTGGATTGTTTAAATATGTTTTATAGTCTTCTCTTACTTCATAAGAGTCATCTTTATTATCAGATCCTCAGTCAGCTGCTTAGATTAGCCCATAGCTGTTGAGGTTTCAAGGGTCAAATACACTTTGGAGTTGTTTAAACCTGCCCATATGGAAAAAATATAAGGACATATATTTCTATATTGCCTTGCAATCCATGCTGAAATACATTTCAAACACTAAAATGTTTTCAGAATATATCGCCATATTAACCAAATATATTTTGAAAATGTATTGGGAAATATTACACATAGAACTGTACCATAGAACAATAAATCTATGAAAGTTTATTCATCAAACACATTTGAAAATGTATGAAAATAGCCAGTAACCTGTCTAATGCACTTCACTCTTTGAATACCTTTTGAAATGAATTTGTATTCCAGTATCTTAATTTGAAATATTAGCAAAAGAACCTTCAACATCACAAAAGCGAATGTTGTAGGTGTTGATACTCGGTGAAAATGTAGTCATGATTTGATATCTTGTTTATTTGAAATACATTGTGTGTGAGTGTCTTACTGCAGACGTACACGGTTAATGAAAAGTACAATGCCTTAATTGAAAGGGTGCATATAACTGTATATATAATCTGCACCTCGTCGTTAAATATATGATGTTCTCACATTTTCAGATACATGGCAATCGTTCACCCCTTAAGGCCGAGGATGAAACATCAGACAGCCTACTGCCTGATCACTGGAGTGTGGATTGTTCCGGTCCTCATATCCATACCTTCTGCCTACTTCACTTCGGCGAATAAGGTGCCCCACAGTGCCAACCGTAGCAAGACCTTTTGCGCTCAGATCTGGACGGTGGACAAACAGCTCTACTACCGGTCCTACTTCATTTTCATCTTCGCCGTGGAGTTCCTGGGCCCCGTCGTCACCATGGCCCTGTGCTACATCCGCATCTCCAGGGAGCTGTGGTTCAAGAACGTGCCCGGCTTCCAGACGGAGCAGATCCGAAAGCGCTTGCGCTGCCGGAGGAAGACGGTCATGGTGCTCATCGGAATCCTCACAGCATACATCCTGTGCTGGGCCCCGTACTACGGCTACACCATCCTGCGCGACTTCCACCCAACCATCATCTCCAGGGAGAAGAACTCGCTGGTGGCCTTCTACATCATCGAGTGCATCGCCATGAGCAACAGCATGATTAACACCTTCTGCTTCGTCAGCGTGAAGAACAACACGGTGAAGTACTTCAAGAGGATCGTGCTGCTCCGCTGGAAGTCCACCTACACCTCCAGGAAGACGGTGGATGAGACAGAGGTGAGGACGCTGTCCATTCCTGTGACAGAAGAGATTGACTGCATACGACTGAGGTGAAGATAGATTCACAGTGGGTTTATGCCACTTCAGCAAGCTAAAGCCCTGGAGTCCTGGTGCTCTTGGTGGAGAACAGGACTTGCTGACACTGCATAGCACAGATATTAACCATAATTGGGTAACCAGTGACCCTATCTATGAACTGTAATGAGCCAAGCTGACCTTGTTTTTTTGGAAAAGCTGTAAAGGCAGAAGGTTTGTTGTTTTACTTTGACCTCTTGTTACTGGCACAAATTTTTGTGAGGTCCTACTGAATGTAAAAAGGCAGCTTCCGTCAATATGTTCAGTTCCATCTGCAATGCAGAGGATTAAAGTGACTCCTGAGGCGTGAGGCGGAGGCACTGTTCATCTAGTGGTGATCTTGTGTATATTGTTACGCAGTACAATTTTGGTGATTTTTGACATGTTTTTCGGTGAAAATGTGCAATATTCATGTTCTTAGAATGTTTATAATTAAGTACAAGTATATTATTATGAATATTTCTCTCTCTTTTTGGATGCTGTGTCCTGAGGTGCATGTGAGTGAAAATTAATTCTTATGGCACTATTACTAAAGACACATTTAGGACAGAAAGGCATTATTCATATCAGCTAAAGAACGTGACCAGTGGACCAATGGATTTTCAGAAGTTCTTACATTTTTAGTTATTCTGTGGTAAATTATAAATGTCATGTTGTATGATATGTTATTTATGCATGGAATTAAGCTGAATAAATTTAAATTTGAGAAAAAAAAATCATAGTTATGCATGTTTTTATCAGTGGCTAACTATGCATTAGAAGACAATTCTATTCAATTCACATTTAAGGAGCATTTTCACTTGATTTAGTTCATATGTAGTGTTAAGGGTTATATATATGTATGTATGTATAGTTCATATGTAAATAATGTTTTATACTTTTTTATTATTTTTGTTACGGCTTTTGCTAAATGCATTAAATGAATACTGAATAATGTATCTGATTACAGCAAGGGCTGGATTTTAAGGGGGGTGAGGTGGGGGGGTTGGTGCAAGGGCTTTTAGATCTAAAGCTCCTTTAGATTGATGCGATATCACTTAATATCTCAATTATTAATATTTTCATTCAATCCATATATGAGATTTACACACTACAAAAATTCTTCGTATCAAACAAACAAGTTATGATCACGACATGCGCATCTACAGAAGAGGTGGTTATGTATAATAATGTGCTTTCACTCTTCATTGGTCATGCTTTGGAGTGTTTGGGGAAATAGGTCAGCCAAGTTTGTGGTTTTTCCGAAAAATTGGGCTTGTTTGAAAATGCAGTTTCAGCGTCTGGTGAGCGGCTTTTAAGCAAACTTTGAGCTGGAGATATTCGCTGGACCTGGCAACCTTTCCTGACATAGAAGAACACAAAAACATAGTAAGATAACAAGCGTTAGCCAGTAAGAGATGTTTGAGCATCTAATCTTTAGGGATCATCTTAAGATTGTATTGAATGAAAGGTGAAAAGAACATAAAAGCTCTGCCAGCTGCATCTCCAGAACAAGAGTAGCTAACTCAGTGACATATCACTGCCAGAAACGTTGCTAAAGCTGCAGTGATGTGCATTAACGTCATGCCTGATATTATAAATGTCTTGGAAATGAAATGCTGATTAAAGGACAAACAGGTCGGGAGGCACCAGTAAATTACCCAGCATCCCATAAAGTGCAGCACTGAGTAGCTCATGTCATACAGAATGGAAGATGGCTACATTAGAGAGCTGAGCATTTTGCCAGAAACCACAGAATAGCTCAGAGTCTGAAAGGGGGTGCAAATTGAGCCCTATACTATCTGATCTTAGCAGATCTAATGACTCTATCACTGAGTACAGAAATTGATATGTACAGTAGTTTTCATACTGTAATGCAACAGATTGTTCACAGTTTCACTGCATTTTCATCACTGCAAGTGGATGATGGTGGATTTCTTCCACAACAGCATCTGAATTTATCTAAGGAGTCAGTTTTAGGAAAATGTATGAAGAAACAAACAAGCAGACAAACAAATAAGCAAAAACCTGAAGTTTGGCCCTAATGAAATGTTTTGGACCATGTTCAATCCCCAAAGAAACCTAGCAGGCTAGCTTGCTCCTTGTACTGAAAAGCTGAGTGATTTTTAATGTGGCACTGTCTTGGGATGCCACATTTTTAACACGTCAGTTTGTCTTTTTTTTTTCTCTGCTAGGGCAGCCCGGGTCAACTCTAAGTGCTGTAATTGCAAAGTTGAAAGGAGTAACAACAGCTCAGCTATGAAGCAATAGGCCACACAAGCTCACAGAACAGGACTGCTGAAGTGTGAATAAATTACCTACCCTCAGTGGCAGCAATTATTAAGTTCCAGTTTGGAATTGGAATTGGAATCAACTTCAGCACAAGAACCGTCTGTAGGGGGCTTAATGCATTGAGTTTACAAACCGAGTTTGCACTGCACAGTGTTGTGCATTGGCTGGAATGGTGTAAAACATTCCGCTATTGGACGAAATGATTAATGAATTACATTTCATCTGTCAGTCTGATAATTAAATCTGCTTTTCGACAGACACCAAGAGAATGCTACCTGCCGGAATGCATCATAGTAAAGTTTGGTTGAGGAGGAATTATGAGTCCAGGACTGTTTTTCACAGTTTTGGGCCCTTAGTTCCAGTGAAGTGAAATCTTCATGCTACAGCATACAGCGACATTGTGGAGAATCGTGCTTCTTGTACGTGCCAGATGGGCCATTTTCTCTTTTTTTTCCTGTATTTTTTCTCGTTTTCTTTTTAACTTTTCTGACAAGTAGAGATCTGACCAATGGCTGCATCATTGCTGCACTCTCATCCTCCAGTCGGAATTGCTGCTGTTTAAATACTGGCTGGTTGGTGAAGATAAAAGCACCTACCTGCGAAGGTGTGGAAGAGAGTGCTGTGTGTGTGTGTGTGTGAGGCCATTAGCTTGTTGGCCATATGTTAATTGCTATTTGACATGCTGTTGTTTACATATATAGCAAACTTAGTTACTGCTCACTCTTTCTCTCTCGGTCCCTCTCCTTACAGCATGATGTGTGGTCAGGCAGCTCAGGCACAGCTTTCCATTTATCACTGTAGTATCACTTAGTATAGACACATCAGGTAATGGACGAGTCCCACCCGCTGTATTTTCTGTAGGTTAGCTCTGGTTAGACAGGTTAGGTGTTTTGTTTTGTCCACTGTCTGTAGTCTACCTTAGCTGCTGGCTGGGTATAGATCAGTCTTACTCCCAGTGTTATTTACTCAGTGTTTACCTCAATTTTCTTGTTCTTTCGATCACATTGAGTCCTATAAAGCAGCCTTGTTAGCCTAATACATATTTAAACTATTGATGCTGCTTAGCTGCATGTTTTGTTCATTGTCTATTAGCCTCTCTTTCCCTGCTTGACTGAAACCCATTTACGGTGAATGTTGTGCAATGTTGTATCACCCATCTCTTTATAAAAGTAAAGCATTGTCTAAAGGCGGTACGGCTGTTGATCGTGTCCTTCCCTTCCACCCTTCATCACATACTCCATGTTACATCATCTTTACCCATAGGTCAGGGGTCGGCAACCTAAATGTTAAGAAGAGCCATTTTGTCCTTTCCACAAAAACTGAACCACCTTGGGAGCCACAACATTTTATGTCCATTTTACCATCTTGGCTATAAATCTGTCACAGTATGTGCTGATGTACTAACATAGGCTAAAATATATAAACTTTATATAAAATATATAAACGAAAACTCAGACTTTGCTTTGTTTTAAGCTTTAGCTCAGCTATAGCCGCTTTAATCCGCATCTCTGGCAGGAAACTTTTCCACAAAACTATAATAGTCTGTTCTGGTCATTGTAAAATATCTCTCAACCTTCGACTTTTTATGAGGCTGAAGTCGCTTCTCATTCGCCAGCTTCTTGTTAGAATTTTGCTGTTCCACATTAAATGGTGCTTAAGGCACCAGAATGTAACTGCTGCACCATTTAAGGTTTAACGGGAAACTTAAACAAAAAACTGATTGCAGCTTTGCACTTTTTAGTGTTTGACAGTTTCTCACTGCAGATGTATCAATGTATCAGGAAACCAGCTTGTATTGTGCTTATAAATGCAAATAAAACCCATTCGACTCCAAATTAATGAGGTTCGTCTAAAGTCTTTCTCTTTGCCTCTTTGTTAGCTACCAGCTAAGCAAGATTGTTGTCTACGTTGCTATGGTGACCAGCAGTCTGCGCGCCAATCTTCAGGGTTAAAGGGTGAATTAGCAGTTCTACATTAACTCCAGCGTTTGAGACCAATTATTGTTAAACTGTGTTGAACGATCAGCAGAGCTTTATTTTACTATAAAGGAGGATTATTTTATTTTTACCTACCTAATTACCTAATTCTGCTGTGGAGCTGCAACAGGGCAGTAAAAGAGCTGCATGCGGCTCCAGAGCAGCATGTTGGCGACCCCTGGGCTGTGGTACAACCACGGGGAACATAACAGTTTCTGACTTTGAGGAACAGTTTGTGGAATGCCCCTTTCTGTTTCAGTGCCCCAGTGGACAAAGCAAGGTCCATAACGAAATGGTTTGCCAAGTTTGGTGTTGAAGAACTTGACCAACATGCACCTGACCGCAACCCTGTCTAACAACATTTTTGACTACACCACCAAGAACCAGCAGCAATAATATCATCGATCCTCCCTGATGCCATGTTGCCATCGCACAATGAAAGAAAGATGTTATAATTTCCAATTCATGTTGAGTTTAAGGTGTATAATGAGTGAATGGAAGGCTCTACAATAGCCCAAGCCCTTAATTGAGCAATTTTTGTGTCTCAACTCTAAATCCCTTCTGTATTTATTATAAATCACATTCAAATATTAATATCAATATTCCATTAGTTTGTTACAGTGGGCCATTAATGCATGAAAATCACTAAACATTATGACTTTAATTAAATACTGAAAGAAAGAAAAAGCTCAGTGAGGCCAGGCACTCTGCCCTTAACCATCATCCATCAGATCACAATTAGACAATGCATTATATGAGAAATAGACACCACATTATTTATTTAAAAAAATAAACAAAAAGACAAAATATGACAAACTATGATGGCAATTTACCTTAAATTACCTGCTTAATTCTAA